AAGATTATCTGAATTTTCTTGGTGATGTGTTTAGCAAAATGTCAGATGAACAGAAAAAAATGTATCATCCTAGTTGATGAAGTTTATGTTAAATTGACTTTATAATACCAAAGAGGAAACTTATTTGGTTTTGGATTCTGAAGAGGCATTAGCAAATCTGTATTGGGTATTATGATCAAATGTTTACATGGTGGGCCAAAATTGTTGATTAAGATGATCCCATTTGCCAAACTAAATTCAGAATTTTTGTTTCAGAATGTTAGAAATGTTGTTGATTTAGTCAATCATTTGAAAGGCCATGCAATTGAAGTTATTTGTTAAATTTGATACTGTTGTAAATAAGCTTTGGGTTACTAAAATGGTTTATACTTGCTTTTCGATTATATACATATATTTAAAAGTATTTGCAATAACTGAGGCTTTCTCAGAATTGCTGTTTTATTTTGATTGGAAAGAGTGAAACAATTTTTTGGGCATGAAAAAAAAATCAATTTGTTAAATTATCGAAACTAACAGAAATAGCGGTTCTTCCAAAACAGTTGAGAAACAAAAAGTTTCCCACTGTTTGAAAGTGTTTTGTGATGAGACTGTAACTGCAATGAAAACTCATCCATTATTACAGAATGATGATACACGAGAAACTTACTTTCATCGAAGAAATTTTGGAAAATAGTCAGTGTAAAATATATTTATGGAAGTGACAAGACAAATGATCCACTGAAAAGTGTGGTATCAGATCGAAATGATGGAAAATTGACATTTCTTGCAAATTTTGGAAGTATGGCAAAGCAAATGGGGCGGAAATCAAGGAAAGAGAATAAAATCCTTCACAAGAGACACTAGTATGGCTATCGAACATACATGTAATGGCTGAATTGATGTTTGCAGACATTTACTTGACAGTAGATTCAATTTTGTCGTTCTTGGAGAATTTATTACCGACTATCTTGAAACTGCATTTGGTAAATTAAGACGAGGTTCTGGTGGTATTACAGTACAAAATGTTATTCAGAAATTTCATATTAAAAATTACTTTTTTACTTAAGTTGATGTTAGAGAGTACATCCATGATCCAGACCATAATTGCTCAAATGTGGATATCTGTTGGATGAATTGGCATGCCAAACATTTTATCACCTGCCAGACCTAGAAATTGGTATCTCCAAACATATCAAAATGTTGCTTTTTTATATAGCAGAATATATCACACGAAAGGATTGTCTTACAGAGGAGGAAATATTCAATGATACTGATTTTTATTATCATGAGTATGGAAATTTTTTTTTAAAGAAATTGATCGTGGTGATTTAAAAGTTCCACTGGTTACCACTGTTCAGTGGGTGTTTTTCTGTTTCATAATATTCAATGTTGTCAAATCAAAGGTTTGCAGAAATTCTTTAACAAAAATCTTCTTATTGGTGTCTGAAATGCATCATTTCTTTACAAAGTGTGCATAGAATTATATTGTCAGATATATTTTTTGAGAAGTTAAGTAAAGAACCAGCGCTAAATGTTTTGAAGTTGTCTTTAAATATTAGCAATCTGATCAATTAGAAATAATTATTGATCTGTAAGAACAAAGTAACTCATTAATTCTGCAAGAGACAGGTGTAAAATATATGTTAAAGTTTTCTTATTGAATTAATCTGCTTGTTCATTTTGTAGTATGGTGTAAATATGAATTTTGGAGCTTTGTTTCTAAATTTTTATAAAATAAAATCAGTTTCTTTTTTAATTACATGTTTTTTTTAACTTTCTGATCAGTGAGAAGTAATAATTGATCATTAAAAACAAAGGGACACACTGTTCATGTGATATGGTATAAATTTATATTTTAAAGATTTCTTTCTAATTTATTGTAAAAGGTAAAATCACTTCTTTTTGAATACAGAATTTTGATGTTTGTGTTTTCTGATCAGTAAGAAAGATAATTGAACATTAGAAACAAAGGACATGAGGTTTCTGCAATAACATTGTGTACCAACTTTTTGTAGAAAAAAGTGGTTTTTGAGCTTTTCTTTTTAAGGCCGAACAGGGGAGTTCTTTTGTTTTCCATGTCACAAAAAGAACAATCTTTGGGTGGATTCTTGACGATAACATGTCACTAATGAGACTTTAAAATAAAGTCTTGATTACTTCTTTTAGATTTTTTTAGGTGAAGAGCTTTCCTTAGTAATCATGGACATTTTGTAAGTAGTGTCCTCCTTGTTTTCTCACAACATTATAATTATTGTAACTCAGTGTTTTGAACACTGTCTGTTTTATAGGATAACTTAAAGATTTTTAACTAAACCTTTTATTTAATCTATGGACATTGTATTATCTCATTTCATCTTCCTTTTCAGCGAATCTGTTTATTTTTTCTAATTTCATCTTCCATTTCAGTGAATTTCTTTGCTTAGTTTAATCGACTATAAGATCACACTAGAGATTTGGATGTCGAAATTTTAGTTTGAACTTTGTTTCTGGATTATTTTATGATGTGAAATGAAGAAGACTATAGTAAAAAATGAGGACAGTTTGGTTAGTAAAATACATATTATCACATTTGAACAAACTATATTTTTGTGCTTGATTTTATCAACCGGTGCGGATTCTTTTTTTTAACCTCAATATGCGTGTCATGATCTTTTGACACAAGTAGAAATTCTCTAAAAAAAATCCCACATTAAAATAAAAATCACTCTTTGAGATATTATGCATTTGTTTATTCAAAGTTACCTGTCTCTTCATTTATAGAAATTCTTCAATAATCGTCAAATTTACCACCAATTATCTCATTGTGATTGTTGTTTTGGTATGTAAAACACATAAAAACATCAAACTAATCTCACAGAGGAATTGTTCCCTCTGTTTGCAACTGCTATATCGATTATCTAAGAAAAATTCATCGCCCCCAGTAAGAGACCCCAACTGTATGATTGCCTGGCCTCTTAATAGGTCTGGACTTGTCCTGATCTAAAATGTGAGAAATGAATGTAAAACTATTTATATGTAAAAATATAATAATCGTTTGTTTTGTTTTCCTTACGAAAGGTACCCTAATCGCAATAAGTTTTATCCGCAGACAATTGCTTAAGATTTCACTATAAATCACGATATCAGCTTGCGTTTATTTTTATGACATGCGCCTCTATCACTCACGCGATAAGTTTCTTAGATATATCGCTACTTTTTCACTGGCTACTGTCTATCGGATGAAGATTTGCTGCTTGGCCTCCCACTTGAGCTAGTTGGAAACATTAGAGGCGTTGTTGCTTGTTTTCACTTGCCAATGATATAAACAAGTTTTTTATTTTTATTTTTTGACAGATACAAAAAGCTGAAAATTCGACAAAGAGGCGTAATATATTCTTGCATAAGTTATAAGTTGGGAGCCAGAATTCATCATTTTATGTAAAAGAATTGTCTTTTGCCGTGAAATTGTACGCAAAAAGCATTGATATGATAATCTTGTAACAACGAGTTTTATCAACATGGCACCAAAACAATACATTGTATTTATTTTTAAATTATCTACTCAATATGATTTTCTTTAATCTGTATCTTTCTTCATAGAATACATGTTCAATATTCGACAAAGATTTTCAAAATCTTCAAATTTATAAATGATAGAATTTGCTTTGGATAATGTTTTGAATATTAAAAAGATAAACGTATTTTGAAATATAAAAACAATTGAGGAGATTGAGATGAGCATATATCTGTTTCCATTCAGTGCAATTAATATTCTCTTTTGTGTGAATTTTTTTGTATTTTTCATAAGAAATGAACTCACTCTTAATTCAAGTCAGCAAGAAAATTAATAATAATAATTTCTACGGGAAGGAAACTGAAAGAAACTGGTATGAACACCACCCAGACCCGGTTACGGAGATAGGACCTGTTACAATTCAATGGGACTACACAATACACACTGACAACAATCAAGGCCAACCGCCCAGATATTGTTATTAAAGACCACAAACAAAAACGGTGCCTCCTTATTGATATGGCAGTCCCTGCTGACTGCAATGTATCTTTGAAGATATTCAAAAAGTTGTCAAAATACAAGGACCTTGAAATAGAAATCTCAAAAATCCCTGTTGTAGTTGGAGCCCTAGGACTGGTTGGAAAAGATTGCAGTAGACTAATTGAAGGGATTCCTGGAAGTCCATGCCTCAAGGAGATAAAAAAATTGTTCTGACAAGTACAGCCCACACATTACGAAGGGCTTTATCTATGTAATTTTTTTTTTTTTTTTTTTTTAGTGGAAAGTGTCATGACGCCATTTCTAACCTTAGGTCCCTAAGCGGGACCCGGAAAGAAATGTGTAAACGCCAGAAATCAAAGAAAATAAAAAAAAATAATAATAATGTTATACACCACGTAGACACGGTAACGGAGATAGGACCTGTTAGAATTTTATGAGAACTCACAATAAACACAGAACAATCAAAGCTAACCGTGAAAAGACATCTTAGTATTTTGATTGTGCATCACAGATTCCCTCCAATGTTTTTGAATGCATATAAAACTAATTTCAGATAGTTTGTATTCGAATAAATGATTTTTACTAAAATATATGAAAATAAAAAAAATACAAAGGAAAATGATTTTCATAATTTCAGTGAATCTCAAATTCGCTGAAATTTCTACTCTTCTAGATGCGACCTTAAATAAGTGAAATATTTGAAAAGGTATTTGAATTGTTAGGGGAATAAAGAATAAGGTCATTTAAAAAAAGTTTAATTGAAAGTTGTTTTTTTTATATCAATAATGCCTGATAGGCGGGGAAAACAATTTTGCAGTTATTGATCTGTATTTTGCTCGGGTTATGCCATCAATTCGTGCAGCCGTTGGTATTGATGAGATTTGAGTCAAGAAGAAATCTTACCAACATCAACTCTTTCTCCGATAAACATTTCGAATAAAGCGAAAACTCTAAGAAGGTGAAATGTGACTTGTAATCTTTCTAAATTCTGCCACTGAGTGGGAGTGGGGAATAACTATGCCGGCCGTCAGACTGGGATTATTAAAAAAATGTATCGGAAAATAGGATCAACTGCATTTAAGGGAGTAAGAGTAAGAGGAAAAATAGATAGATATATTGATAGATAGAATGAGAGATGTTTTGTAGTGAATTTAGTAGAGAACGTGAGTAAGGGAATAATAAAAATCATTAAAGAGAGTAGGCAGGCGGGGTGAGAGAAATTAATGAAATGAGATAAGAAAGCAAAAGAAAATGACGAGGTAAAAGAATAAAGAATAAAACACTGGAAAAAGAGAGTAAAAAGAAATTGCGGCAGAGAGTGTAGCAAAAAAGTTGAAAGTGCATGTGTGAAGAGAAAAACAAAGAAAAATATTTGTACTCAGTGTTCCTTCTAGGGTCAGTTTGCTGTCAGTCTCCCCTTTCAAAATCCTAAAATGGCCACACATTAACGGCTATTTGCCGAGATAAAACAGACAGATGCAACGTTGTTTCCGTTTGAAGCTAAAGTATATGTTGAGACTTAAGCCATTTGTTAGCTTACATAAATACATATTTTTCTTTTTAATATGCTCTCCCTTTTGATTTGTTCTCAATCAGTAAACACAATCTGACGTCGATGCTTGCCAAGTACGCTTTGCCTACATTTTCTGTTTGTTTTCATTTCTTTCATCCGTTTAGTATAAGAAAAGAGTAGAGAGATTCGGAAAATGTAGGAGAGAAATTGAAGGAGAGAGCGAAGATGAAAAATGTAAATGAGGGATGAGAGAAGAGAAAATTACGAAATAATAATAAAAATAACTGGGATAAACGTGGATATAACAAGGGGAAAAAGATAAGCATTTTGTACGGAAAGCAACAGAGACAAATAGAAAGCGGGGAAAGATGAAGAAAGAAAGAATGGAAAGATAGAAAGAGGGGAGCAGAAATAAAAAAAAAAAAAGACGAATAGAAAAAGACGTGTAAAAAAAAAGAAATAGTTAAAAGGAAAGGGAAAATTGAGAGAGGTTAGGACAAGGAGAAAGAAAAAAGCCGAATCAGAGAAAAAAAATGGAAATCGAAGGAGTATAAAGAGATAAAGAAGGAAAAAGATCAAAGATAAAAGAGAGTAAAAAGAGATGAAAAGAGAAAAGAAAAGATAATGGGAAATAAAAAGTGGGGCTTATAAGTGAGGATCAATGAAAGAATGAAGAATACTGATTGTGACGAAGAGCGAGAGAGAGAAAGAGAAAGAGAGAGTGAAAGAAATAAGTTTGTAGTTAGAGTGATAAATAGGACGGAGAAGAAAAGAGAAAAATGAAATGAAAAAAGAAACTGAAACTGAAAATTTCTTATTTAGATATTTATTCATTTGGATATCGCAGATTAAAAAAAATAAACTTATAGAACAGACTGCAATGGGGTCGATCCTGAGTCATCTATGTTTATCTCAATATTAGTAAAGGGATATATCGTTATTAGAGAAATAAAAAACGAACAAGATTAAAAGGGGGCACGATTAGATGAGAATGAGAAATTTTATATATATATATATATATATATATATATATATATATATATATATATATATGTGTGTGTGTGTGTGTGTGTGTTTATAAAGAAAGAGAGATAAAAATTGTGTTGAAAGAAAGAGCATTGATAGAAAAATGAAGCAAATAAAGGAAAAGAAGGAGGAGGAGACAGACAGACATAGATGAAGCTAAAGAAATAAAGGGTGAGAAAATAAAGATGATCAAGTAAAGATTGAGAAAAATTATAGGGTGGCAGATAAAAATGTATGTAAGTATACAAATGGAAATTATAGCCACATGTTTCACTTAGCAATGAGGGACTTTACAAGTGACGAAATTATCAGAAAAAGCATCTTGCATTTATTTGTTCAACTATTTGATCGTTGCTAATTAGATCCTGTGTGTCAGCTCGAGTGAGGCATCAATTTTGAAATGTAAACCAAGTCAAAGAGTTTGCATCTGGACTTAGATAACTCCATAATTCGGCTCGCCAACAAAATCAACTTCGCCATTGAAGAGAATCATTCCAATTGAATGAGCTGATATTATCAAACTGAAATAACATTTAAACAGTAATACACTTCCTTTACGCAGAAACAGCCTGTACATATGCACACACACACACACACACACACACACAGAGATTCTCACATGCGCGAGCGCACACACATACACACGTGAAAGTGACATTTACGTATAGATATGTGTGAATGTTTACATTTACGTATAGATATGTGTGAATATTTATATATGTTGATTATTGAATTGCATTTTACTTGTGAGTGTAACTCAGGTGTAGAATTAAGAACAACGGATCACCAGGCTTTGGTTTCGAATCCTGATGACTTGTTGATAGTCAGCCATGTGCTTATGAAATTTTTATTGATGAATCACAATTCGCATAGGTAAATGTATTATAGCTTTTTAACTGAATATTTTGATTAACCAATTAGTTTGAGTTCATAAACAGGCATCGAACTCTCTTCCAAATTATGACTATAAAAATCCTATTGTGTATCATGGCAATATATTCTCTTAGTAGTATTTTGGATACTTGCTCATCTGCCCCAAATACCGAATCTATACGTAGTCATTCTATCTTTCAGGCTACGATTAATAATATAAAACCAAACTTAAATTGTACATCTTCTATAGTAGTCATACAAAATTTGCAATGAGTTCTTTCCATACTTGATGCTTTGCATATGTGGCTTTATGTCAAAGTTGCCGTTGTGTAATAAGTATCTGTACGATTATATGAAATCAAAGTTGACTGTTTTAAGGAGTAACAAGAGATCATTTTTTGGTGCAAAACATATCAGAAATATTTTATTGTTATTAAAATTAGCACCAACCGATTTGTGTAAATTCTGTGATATATTTGTATATTACGCTGAGAGGAAAAAACGGTTTTACAGAGCACTGACTTAAGAACTAGACAATATATTTGTTATGAACACTTACAAAAAATAATAGCCGAGGTTAGAAAAATATATCCATCATTATTTTCTCAAATTTTGCTTAACAGAAAAAAATTCCTCTCACTGTTGTACCATTAGTCATTTTTCTTTCTTTTAAGATAATACATTTCTTTTAAGGAAAAGCACGCAAACGAAATGGCAAAGAGGAAACTCTTTGATTGGATTAGCACTCAACTTTGTTGCGCTGTGTTTTGCAGAAAGTCTGAATTAACCACACAAATACGTAAAGTCATATCAAAATAAAAATTAAGCACGTGTTTGTGGACTTTGCCTCTTGTAAGTCCTTTGTCTTTAGTAAAGGTGAGAGTGGAAAGAGAATGTGTGGGGGCATCGGAACGCCGGGGGTAGTTGACTCACGGATTAGGTTCAGGATGTGAAAGTTGCGGAGGAAGCGCGGACTTGGGAGAATCTCAGGGATTTACAAAATCTTTTTTCTCCTTTTTTTTCTGTCAATGTAAACTGAAAAAATACAAGAAAAAACATATACAATTTTGACGAAAATAAACCCAAGAAACTACATTATTGGTTCTGGTTTAGTTTTGGAGAGGCTTATAGTCGTTCTTATTTGGATCTTGTTTGTACTGGAGTTGAAAATGCTTTACTGTTTCGCTGTCGCTATCCGCAACAAACAGCAAATTTTCAACTCTCTCGTTCGTCACGTTCGTATTAAATATATTCAAACAAAAGAAACCCTTTATTCATACACTGAGAGCAGATCAGATAAATGATAGTGTACTTTTTGTTTTGTTTTTCTAATCGGCAGTCGTCTAAGTTGAAAAGCGTTGTCTTCTTTTAGACGTGTTAAAAAAGCATCATTAAAGGTAACGGAGATTTAGCTTAGAGTTTGACCTTGCTTCAGACCCGATTCAAAACTGAATCGCTAGGTAGAAGGTCAGGGCCTGGTGCCCCTCCCTCAACTCGTAATTCGACACAACACTTTCATCGAATGTCAGTGAGAAGGTCAGAATAGTTAGGGTCTATAGGAAGTTTTGTAATAGCACATTGTTAATACCAGTTCCTGGTTTCTCGCTGAACTTAACTGTCTGTTCGGTACACAATGAGTAAACATTTAATAAAACTATATGCAGTTGTTAGCAACGATAAAACGTATATTTAATATCGTGAAGCTGTTTATAAGTTAGAAGAAATAATTTTTTGCTAATAATTTTCGAGATTCAGGCAGAGTATCCAAGCCAAACCCGAAAAAAAATAGATCTAATTATTTTGAATAAGGAGAAAAGAAATTGGATTAGATTTTGGATTTAGATGTTCCAGGTGACCACCGAATAAAATTAAAAGAGAAATGAAAAACTGGAGAAATATCTGGATCACGCAAAAGAACGGAAGAAATTATGGAACACGAAGGTGGCGGTAGTGTCCATCGTTGTTAGCGTACTGGGAACGAAAATGACTGGAGGACATCTGAAGTATAATCTACAACATGCCAACAATAACATAAATGAAAACAGTCAAAATACAGAGCTCCTCATCACTTTTCGTGAACAGGGGAGAGGCTCATCCCTTGTTCCCTGATTAGGAAGGGGTTCACGGTTCTTTTCTTCCTTTGGCCTTAATAGCAGTGCTGTTATGAATCTCTTGTGACGTGCATGGATGGTGGCAACGTCCCTTCATACTGATGGTACTGGGTTGGCAGTTTTCTGGTTGCTGGTCCTGACTGGTAGTTCGGAGCCCGAACTCTTGATAGGCTGCTCTGATCAATAGTTGCATAATATCGGGGTCCTTGTAGTGCCATGTCGTGCATGGAGGGGTGTCTCTGCAAGCACCTCCGATGGGCAACCCTGAGGCCACACTATGTTGTAGTCTGTGCCAGTTCCCTTCTACCCGGGTTACATTTGATGACCGACTGCTACCACTATCCTAGGTCTTTTCCTTACCAATATAACACGACTTTAAACAACCCAAGATACAAACCTAAACCAGCTCAACAAAAAACATCTAAACTCCTTAACGTCTCTTTCTCCGACATTCGTGGTATTCATACCAACTTCAGCAGTGTTGAATCGTTCCTCTTCGAAAAGTCTTCGGTCACCCTAGCTTTCCGTGAAACTAACCTCAACTTGTCAATCCTCTCCTCTGGTTTCTCGATTCCTGGCTACCTTCCTGTAATTAGAAAGGACTCCGAAGTTCACATGCACAACATGGGAGTTTGTTCGCGAACATCTCTCGCTAGCTAGGGAACTCTTGAATCTTCAGATTATTCGTATGTGTGTCTCCGTCTCTCTCTCTCTCTCTTTAATTCAGTCAGCTATCTCTTCTTTTTCTCCCTATCCCCTTCCTCTCATGACTGTTGCGTGCTAGACAGTATTGATAAGGCAATCTCTCTATACTTGTCTGCTAATATATTCGTGTTCGGTGACTTCAACGCCCAACATACCAGGTGGCTTAAACACTCTGTCACTGACGCGGCTGGCATCAAACCCTTAACTTTTCAATCACTCAGTCCCTCATATAAGTGACTGATTTCTTACGCCTTTTCTCAGTAACCCTGACGGAAACACTTGTCTCCTTGATCTCTGTTTTCACCTTTTACTCTTGTCACGCTACGCAACTCTGCCCTCTTGGCAACTCTGATCATGCGGTTGTGCCTGTAAAAAATCTCCTTCTACTCTCCTATCAACCAAAAACCCCCTACCAACAGAATATCTTTCTGTTATCAACGAGCGGACTGGAACACGTTTCGAGATTTCCTTCATGACGTCCCTTGGAATGTAGTTTTTAATCATCCCGTTCAAAAATGCGCGTTTGAGGTTTCTTATTGGTTAAAAGCTGGCATCGATGCTTTCATTTCAACAAGAAAATACCTCGTTAAATCTCCTTGGTTCTCATCTGCTAGCTCGGCCGCTACAAGCTACAGGAATCATTTCTTTCATCTGTACCAGAGGGACATGAGAGTTTGCAATAGACCTCTCTGTCTCTGCTCATAACGAGTGCAAGCGTGCCCTCAATGAACTAAAGTTACTGTTTGCCGATAGAATGAAACATCGTATAGCATCTCGCAAGTTCGGTTCTAGAGATTATTGGTGGCTTTGCAAGCGTGTACTGATCAACAGCAAATCCTCAATCCCTCCTCTATTAAAGCAATTCGAAGTCCAAACAGAATGGTTTGCTCGAAAATTCTCGTCCAACTCAACTCTTGACTCATCTGGTTACCCACACCCGATCCCACCCATCCTAGAACTGAGGCTCTACTGAGTGATATGTGCATAACTCGTTGGTCTCAGACATCATTCCTAAATTGGACTCCCATAAGGCAAGTGGAGGCGACGGGATACCAGCCATCATCCTAAATAAATGTGCTCCTGAGCTACCTCCAGTTCTTTCCAAACTCTACAACTAAT